TGTAAATATACCAATTTTCAGTTTGAACATATTATCAAGTTTCAGAATATTTAAAAGATTATAATATGGTGTGACATTTTCTCTCTTGTAAACAAAAAAAATGTTTCTTATACATGCATTCTGACAAGATCGCAATTTATTTAGAGCAGTTGGATATGTATTACCCCAACTCATTAAACCATAATTAAGATAAGGATATATTAAAGTATAATATAGTTGTTTCAATATCTTTAGATCAGTGTAGTATCTAAGTTTTTTTAAAATTCCTGAATTTTTAGCAATCTTTGATTTAACATGTTTTATTTGGTGCATCCAGTTTAATGTATTGTCTATATAAACACCTAAGTATTTTAGACAAGTCTTTTCTTTGATATTACTTATCGTTATAGGACGTATTTTCTTCTTTGAGGATGTAATTACCATATAGTTTGTCTTATTGTAGTTTATCGAAATTTTATTTATATTGCAATAATGTATAATATGATGTAGTTCGTCATTCATTACTCGTTCAATTTCATCTATAGATGTATGTGAATAAATTATATTCGTATCATCAGCAAACATTTGAAAAGAAAGCTTTTTTGAACAGTTTGGCATGTCGTTTACGTACAAAGTGAAGAGTAATGGACCTAATATTGATCCCTGAGGAACTCCGCATGTCATTTTTAACTGTTCAGATTCAACGTTATCAATTTTTACATATTGGTAGCGATTAGACAAATAATCTCGAAACCAGAGCAGCGGAATTCCTTGTATTCCATATTTATATAATTTGGATAGTAAGATTTTGTGGTTTACTGTGTCGAAAGCTTTTGAGAAATCTGGAAATAGTCCACATGTTACTTCTTTCTTATCAATCGACTTTTTAAAATAATCTGTTGTTTCTAATATTGCCTGTTCAGTGGAATGTCTTTTCTAAATCCAAATTGCTAATCGAAAATTATTTTATGCTTTGTTAGAAAATTTTGCAATTGATCATGTATTAAGCGTTCCAATACTTTTGCAAAAGGTGACAAGATCGATATAGGTCTGTAGTTATTTGGGTCAGTCACTACTTCACTCTTAAATATTGGCGTAATACTAGCTATTTTCAAAATATCTGGGACAATACCTGTTGATATAGATTCATTAAAAATTACGGTGAAGACAGGTGATAAAATATTGGATGCTATTTTAATCAAATTGTTAGGCACACTTATAGAACTTCGATTTCCATCCAATGAATTAAGAAGGAACTTTACCTCAAGTTCCGATACTGGGCTCATGACAATACCAGATAGGATTTCACTAAGAGCCATATTTGTATAAATATGATCAATTAATGTTTTTGAGTGATCCGTTATTCGTGTAGGCTTGGTGATAAGTGGAATAAGGTTGTTAGCATATAGCATGTCCAAATATTTTTCAGTAGGTTGGTGAGTTACATATTGAAAAAAATCAATATTAAAATCACCAGCTAAAATTACGTGATATTTACATTGATTAAGGTATTGTATAAGTTTTTCAAGTTCATCCGTAAAATGATGTACATTATTCTTTGGATGTCTGTAAATGCAACCTATAATTATACCCTTGCATGCATTATTTTTCAGTAGAATTTTTATCCAACAGGACTCCACAAGTTCCGATGAAATTTTTATATGAGGTCTATTAATCGATTTTAACATAGAATTTACATAGACGCCAGCCAGCTCCACCCGCTGCAGTAGCTGAATCTACATGATAGAAATTGTAACCTGGAATTTCAATATTGTGTATGGTGCTTACATTCAGTTTGGTTTCTGTAACAGCAATAATATCAGGTTTTGATGACAAAGTATAGATCATATCATGAAGTAGAGTTAGATTTTTTGAAAGACTTCTTATATTACAGTGAATTAAGGAAACTATTTTTGAATTAGAATTAGCAATGTCCTTATTGATCTTATCTATGGTGTAGTAATTGGAAGTAATATTGGACAACATAAGATCAGGATCCACCTCGTCTAGTTTGTCAGGATTAAACAACAGATGATATAAATCGGTATCATGATCTAAGCTTTTAGTTGAGATATTAAATAAGTAATTAAAATCCCTGTCATTAACATTATAGAAAGGCAATTGTTCAAGGAGATTATCATAAGTAGTATTATCAACTTGTGTGGTTTCCATTTCAAAAGATTCATTGAAGCAGATAATGCTATACTAAGCAAAAAATTCAAGTACGCTAAAGTTGTTTACGAGAGGCTATTGATAAACTGATCAAACTCTTCGAATGTTACAAATCCCATAACTTCCGATTCGGTACTTTCCTTGTAGCAGGTAGTCTATGAGCAATAGAAATTTGAGATTCACTTACGTCTATCCCCATTAATTGACCTACTTCAACTACAATTCTCTTCGGATCTTCATCAGGCACGCAAGGAACACCGGTAATTTCAATACAGTCTCGTCTTTGATACTGCTGCAAACTATCAGTTAATACTTGCTGATCATAGATGGCTTTCTCGGCAGCTTCTAATCGCACTTCTAGCTTCTTTATCGACTGAGCAGCTTCGGTAACATGCTTCTTTGTCGTTTGAAGCGACTCTTTAAAATTTTCAAATTCCTTTGACATGAAGTTTTGTGATTTTTCAATGTCGATGCATTTCTTACAAAGCGTTTTAATTTCTTCTCTGACACTTTCAAGTTGAGTTTCAAATTCATTTTTTATACTAGGTAGAAATTCTCTTTCCCATATTTGTTTTAGAGTAGCAATGGTTAGATATTCAGCCTTAGGTGGCATAATATTACTGTAGTTGGAGCACTTAATCACACGTCCATCTCGCTCCACTACATGACGTTCAGGCTGACCTTCAGGTTTTTTTCAGGCTGAGGAACTGCAATGTGATCCCAGCACATGCCTCTGATCCAAAGCTGTAAAGGACTACGGTTATGTTCAGTTTGAAGAGGATGTCTGATCCATGCTTCAGTCTGAATAAAGAATCATTGATTTATTTCATGAAAACAAAATTAAGACACCAGAGGTCAACTTCATCGTCTGGATTCAGGATCCCGTGATCTTCCATGGAGTAGAATAAAATGTAGTAGGCCTTCAACACACCTTCAAACACATCTCGCCACAGGCGTTCTACTCTCCGATTATGTATGCTTCATCCTGTTATTGCTGAACCTCATCCTGTCCCACACTCAGGATGATTTAGCATGTAATGCCCAACATCGACATTTTCTCCTCCTTTATCACATCTTACTCGTGATGGAAGACCCCAATCATCAACAGCTTGCCTAAACAGGTTAAGAACAGTAACTGCTTTGTTATTGTTGCTACATTGTAAAAACACAGGAATACAGGAATATCCATCGACACACGCATGCACTACAAAACGCCACCGAATAAGTTTGTGGTTCGCATCCAGGTGCCATAGTGCAAGAGGGCGAGGAACATTGTACACCTGACGATGGACTGCCCTACATCGCCTGGCAACTACTTTTAAAGGATCTACGCGTGTCAGTTACTCCCAAATACGACTTCTTTGAATATGTATATTAATTGACCGCAGATATCCTGAAAGAAGTTTTGAACCGCAGTCCGGCGAAGTTTGATGTTATTAACAGTGTTGTCGACCTGTTCGTCAGTTATTTCTGTAAATCTATTCATTCCTATTTGTCCCTTTAAGATATCAAATGAAGGTCTTCCTACGGTACCAACATCATTCAATCTGGGTTCGGCTGTGACCCTATGAGTACTCCTAGACAACGCGTCACGTGCTTGGATTAGACAAGTAAAAACCTGTTCAGAAACACTTTCAAACGGGATCCAATAAAACAACGAATTGCATTAACTCATCAACGTCTAATATGCCTTGTATGTCTAAATCGACATCATGCCGATTCAAACGATATTTTACAGCTAAGAGCTGACTATGTATCATTTTCCTTAACATTTCACTTGCGTATGCGTCCGCCATTTTCAACCAATAACTGTGTTTCTGTGTATTTTCAGTTCTTACTATTAAAATGTTTACTTTATTCTTATCTGAATAGCGAAAACTAACTAAGCCCCATCAGTAATGTGAAAACTGAAATAAAAAGTAAGCTTGCTAATGAAAAAGTATGCTGAATAATAAAAAATAAGCTGGCTAATGATAAAAGGTATGCTGAATAATAAAAATTAAGCTTGCTAATGATAAAAATCATGCTCTATAATAAGAAATAAGCTGGCTAATGATGAAAAATGTGCTGAATAATAAGAAAAATGCTGGCTAATGACAAAAGGTATGCTGAATAATAATAAAAAGCGTGCCGGCTAATGATGAAAAATATGCTGAATAATCAAACATAAGGTGACTAATAATGCTAAATTAATAATGCCCAAAGTCCTGCTCAAAATCGAGCTTAAAAAAATTAGTTCATAAAATATTATGGTACTTTTTTAAATAAAAACACTAGCTTTCACTGAAACTTGCTTATTTTTGGCATGATGCTTTCTATATTGATTGAAATGAGAGTCACGGAGTTTGAAGGCACAGGAGTAAATAGATTTTATTTTATTTACGTTTTTTTCCTAAACATGCAAGTTACAGAAAGGAACCGTCCTTAATGTAACCAAAAAGGTCCTTTTTGTAACTAAAAAAACACCTAATTCCTCTTTGGTGAAGTAGGGAACAATTATTCTATTATGGGCAGCTTTCTTATAGTTGTAGTAACTGAGAAATGTTAAAATTGTGCTGTCAACATGTGCGACTCAAGAAAAATATAAAGTTTTAGTTTAAAGCCTTTATCTCAATTTTGGTTACTTCAAACATGCTTATGTTACGTTTTCTTAAAACAATATTGTGTCAATTGTTTCCTATAAAGATTTAATATTTCCAAAAGACAACGAAAATTATTTTCATTTTTCCTAATGTACCCCCTTTTTGAAGGATGGAATAAAAAGCTTGCTAAACGCATCTTTTGCTAATTCGTCCCCAGGCTCAGGGCCATTATACTCGGTCGCTTCCTCATTTGCTCCGTTGTTTTTACACGTATTTTGTATGTAGACTTTTGGAAATTTTCTGTCTTCTATTAAACGGTTATTCACTGTTCCTTGTTCAGTCTTGAAGTTGAAGGTAAGTTAAATATTTTTCAATAGACGTTAATATGTATTTATGAAAGAATGAAAAGCAATATTAATATTGGCTCGCCAGAATTAAACAAACAGCGATGTAGAGTTCTCATCATACAGACTTTCCAAATATCACATATTTTCTAAGTATTTATTTGATTTCTTTGGCCTAATACTCTACATCGTAAAACTCCTGAATTTTAACAACAATGTGTTTCTTATTTTATGTTTGTCACGTGGTCCATGCTTCCACTTAATTTATGCATAAATGTCAATAATAATACTATATATTGTTTTCACGAAACATCCTCCACCCCGATGAGAACATTGTTCTCATATATTTTCTTCTTCTACTGGTTGTATTACTGCGATTTTGGTGATCGGTCTTTGATACGTTCCGTTCTGTGTCTTTACTGTCACATTTCGAACAATCTTATCTTTACCCGGGTGTACTTGAGTTATTCTTCCAATTGTCCAATTTCCTCTTATAGCATTCGAATCCACTAACATAACTATATCGTTAACTTGGACATCTCTTCGTTGAACATCCCATTTCTTTCGAGGAACCAAGCACGGAAAAACATCCCTTATCCAACGTTTCCAGAACGAGTCTAGAATTTGTTGAAGAAACTCTACTCTGTGTCGAGGGTTCTTTGTCTTCAGGAATGGTCCTTGCGGGACATGGGAAGACGCTCTTCCTAATAAGAGATCATTTGGACATAAGTATGCGCCGTCATCGGGATCGTTAGTTGGTCTACCGATTGGTCGCTGGTTAACAATGTTTGCCACTTCTAACAGGACAGTGTATAATTCGAACGGTGTGAGGAGATTATCTCCCATTGCTTGTTTTAGGGCTACTTTGCAACTTTTAACTAGTGATTCGGCACAGCCGTTCTGATGTGGAGCGTTCGGTGTAATGAATTTCCACTCCATTTTCTTATCTGCTGCGTATTCTTTAAGTTTCTTAACATCCCAACCTTGTATCATTCTTTTTAATTCGCTTTCTGCTCCGACTAATTGAGTCCCGTTATCACTTAACATTAATGAGGGATATCCTCTAATCGCGAAGAATCTGCGAAGTACTTGAATTAGTTCCATCGTAGAACAATCTGTGGCCAGCTCGAGATGCACCGCTCTGGTGTTCAAACAAGTGAATAGAACGCCATAGTGTTTCATAGTTTTATTTCTTCCAACTTTAACTTTATATGGACCGAAATAATCACAAGCTGTGTTGTGAAATGCAGGTGTTTGAGGCATCAATCTTAATTTTGGGAGTTCAGCCATCAGCTGTGATTCGATCTTTGGATGTGATTTTTGGCAGTAAACGCACTTCTTCTTGATTAATTTTGCAAGTTTCTGCACTCCGATGATCCAAAACATTCTGCGTGTTTTTGCCACGGTCGATGCTACTCCAGTGTGTCCTTGTTGATGCACTTCTTGTGTGATGAGATACGATATATGATGATTTTTGGGAAGCAATATCGGGTGTTTCGAATCATACGTCACAATTGCTTTATCTACGCGTCCTCCTACTCGTACGATTCCTTTTTCGTCTGTGAACGGGCTGAGCATATTGAATTCCTTTCTCTTAACCCGTTCCTTTAACTCCTGTTGTGCTATCTTGATCCAATACTCTTCACCTTTTTCCAGTTCATTTGCTGTTAATGGCTCAACTTCGGTTTTGGGCTTTTGCTTAGATCGTAAATTTCGTACGTACCGTAGAATCCACGCCGTTACTCTCACTAATCTCTTCCATCTCGAAAATTTCGTTACATCGATGATCATTGGTTTGAGGACTAAGGAAAATACTGCTTCGGTCTTTCGTCGTTCTTTATCGATTTCATTTGCATCGATTGTCATTTTTTCTTGCTTAGGCCATTCATCTTCGGGACGATTTAGAAAGTTCGGGCCACTTTTCCAGCGTTCTTCTAACTCCTTTGCAGAAATACCTCTAGATAGATCGTCAGCTACGTTATGCTCGCTTGGTATATGTCTCCACATCGATGGCTCACAGTTCGTTTGGATTTCCGCTACTCGGCTTGACACAAACGGTTTGAAACTTCTTGATTGACTATGAATCCATGTAAGTACTATCATACTGTCCGTAAAGAAAATAACCTTTTCGAACTGTAAACGACATTCTTCTATTATGGTTTTGTATAAACGACTCGCCAGAACTGCTGCCTGTAGCTCCAACCTCGGTATAGTTAGCTCTTTAAGTGGCGCTACTCTTGATTTAGCCGCTAAGAATCTACTTTCATAACTGCCACTTGACTTTTCCCATCGCAGATACGAACAAGTTCCAAATGCGTCTCCAGAAGCGTCCGCGAATATGCATAGTATCGGTAAGCCAATGAAATTCAGTGGCGTTAAGCTTCGTTGGAAAGATACATTGTTCAGTTCTTTAACCTCATTGAAGAATTCTGTCCACCAATTTGATATTTCAGAGGGAAGTTCTTCGTCCCAATCAAATCCACGTTGCCAGAGCCTTTGCAAACCGATTTTCGCACGGATTAAGAACGCCGCCGCGATACCGATTGGGTCAAATACACGAGCTACTTTACTTAGGATCTTTCTTTTTGTTAACTTCGACTCGCGTGGTTCTGTTACATATGCATCGAGATCATCTGCTAGTTTAAACGTGATAATATCCTCTTTATTGCTCCAAACTGTTCCTAAGATCTTTTCTTTTGTTTCCCCTTCCAAGCATTTGATATTCGGACTTTCTTTGACTGTTTCGTTTTCGTTTATGGTCTTGTTTGATAACCATTCCTTTACTTTAAATCCTCCTTTCTGTAAGATTTCGTCAAGCTCTTTTGTTAGCTGCTGTGCCCGTTCGATGGTGGATACCGAATCACAGATATCGTTCATGTATGTATTATTCTTCAGCACTTCAGAAGCATATGGATGCGAATTTTCTGCCTTTTCAGCTGTTTTTCTGAGCGCAATCTGCGCCATCGCTGGCGCTGGCTTGTCGCCAAAGGTTAACACAGTTTTTACATAAGTGTCAGGTGGTCTTGTCGTATCCATATCTCTCCATACGAATCGATGTACGTGCTGATCCTCCTCTGGAATTCCAATCCGATGATACATCTTCGATATATCTCCGCTAACAGCAACTGGTTGCTCTCGAAATCTAAGGATTACTCCAAACAGATTGTTCAGGAGATCGGGGCCCTTTACCCAGCAATCATTGAGACATTGTCCTTTGTATTTCGATGACGAATTGAATACGATTCTAACAGGTGTACTCTTTTTATCAGGTCGAACGACTTCGTGATGTGCGATGTAGTGGAGTGGACCGTTATATTCCTTTATTTCTTGTTCTGTTAACTTTCGTGAAAAACCAAGTGATTCCATTTGTTCCATCTGTTCTTGATATGCTTTTGCTTGTTCCGGGTTCTGCTTCAGCCGTCTTTCCCTTGCTTCCATTCTTTTAACTGCTTGTTCTCGATTGTCAGGAAGTGTTTTTGGATCGGTACTCCATGGGTAGGCCATTTGCCACCGATTTCCAATCAATTTACATCCCTTTTCTATCAGTTTGGCTTCTTCTTGTTCGATTTTGCTTAGCTTTGTCATTTCAATTTTTGGTTGACTAACACCCATTGATTTACTTTTCCAAAAGTCCGTTAGATCTACAGGTTTGGCATACTGAACGTGAAATACTCTATTTGTTTCCTGTAATCCTGGTGTTGCTCCAAAAACGATCCAACCGAGAGGCGAATGTCTCGCTACAATGTTTATACCAATTTTCTTTGAATCTCCCGAGTGCATGTAAGCGTGATCAATTCCAATAAGCATCTCAATTGGTCCACATTCTCTGTACATCGTTGGGAAATACCAATCTGTGCCTTCAAGTTATGAATATCGATCCTTGAGACATCACTGCTAATATGTGGAATCCCAACTGCCTTGACCGTAAATTTTGCACCTGTTTCCAGCGAAGTTATGGGAACTTGATACACTTTCGTCTCGAGCACTTCTTCATCCCCTTGGACTTTTGTGATCGTTATTGAAACATCTTTTCCCTTTAGATTCAGACTTTCTGCAGTGGTTGTACAGATAAGGCTCGTTTGTGCTCCTGTGTCCAGTAAGATGTTACTATTCTTGTGCTGGTTATTCTTGCCAGATAGCTTCACAGTGATGACTGGTAGTATTGCTTCAGCATTACTTCCTAGTGTTGCAAGACCCACTGATGCTCGAGGATCCGCAGAATGCAAAAGAACATGGTGATAGTATTTACATTGCACGTCATTAACCTTTTGTTCACATTGCTTTCTTCGGCTGCAGTTCGATGCTTTGTGGTCGCGTCCAGCCCTTTTAAGACAACTGAAGCAGGCATGATTTTCCTTCACTGCTTTTAGGCGCTCTTCTGGTTTCATAGCATTAAACCTTGGGCACTGGTCTATCCAATGACTTGAATTGTCGCAAACCCAACATTTCGGTTGTCTTACTCCTGAGAAGTGATTTACAAATCTCGAGCCATGGCTTGGGTTTCGTAGTGGAGCTGATACACGCATCCTTGACTTCATTTCTGTTTCCATCCACGACATAAGACCTTGTAGACTTGCTGGTTTCTGTTCCCTCTCCAATTCTCGTGCCCAAACCTTTCTATCTTCTACACACATTTTTTGTTCTATCAATGACAACATGTGGTTGTTATCCATGTCGTAAGGTCTATTTACTCCTTTCATAGTGTTGTAGCTGCGTTTCACCAGATGTACCAGATCACAGAATCTTGAGTCTTCTTCCTCTTTCAATGGGCGGAACTTTGCTAGATCTTGAGTTATTTGGTCTGATACAAATCTCGGGTCCCCATATATTGTGTATTGCCATGCACCATCATAGTCTGAACCTATCCCTTTAATTAGTTCGAGGGGTTTTCCTTGTAGACATGCCCTTAGGTACGTCATGGCATCTCGTTTAGTATATCTTGCTTCTATGGCATGCTTAAAATCATCTCTGAATATAATGTACTCTCTTACATCTCCACTAAATTTTGGC